ATGCTGACTGCGTGCAGAAGATTTCCGAACCGGTTTCAGGTTGATGAAGTAGTATCTTGCCTTTTCAGTATTGTCCGGCTTTGACACAATCTGTCCCGCCTGTAGTTGAAACGATGCTTCCTATATAAGTGAGGTAGTTGACCTCCTTCAAATAGCTCCCTTCGATGGTGATTGGTACTGGTTTTTGTTGTTATTGATTATCTTCATTACCTCTGTCTTCACTATGTTCATCTGGAGTCTTCTCTTCGCTGCTCGCGTCTTCTGTCAGTTTTCGGTTTTCACCTTCAAGTCTTCGTGGTAATCTGATATTAAGCGTAAGCGGAATCCAAATCTCATAGAGTTTTCTTGTAGGTCAGTGCAACGTATTCCTGCCTTCTCACTCTCATTGCACAGTCTAACGCATAGTCCAGTCCACCACAATTAAGAACGTCGTCTGTGATGATACGAGTCAGCGTGTCTTAATCATGTATTCACTTCAAAGTCTTCTTTGGATATTCTGTTGTGTATCACCTTACACTTGTCGTTGTCATATAGCTGTTGAATGAGGTTGATAAAGATTTGACTCAGTGTACAGCGTTGAAGCATTTTCCAAACTACTTCTTGGTCAATACAGTCTGTCGAAGGCCTATTCGAAGTGGATCAAGTTAAGATACAGGTTTGTCCTCCATTCTGTGCTCCGCTCGATAATGATATGAATAGCGTGTATCTGATCAGGGCATGATTTGACCCTCCTGAATTCAGCCTGTTCTCGGCGGAGTTCCGTATCCAGTACATCTTTCATTCCCTCCAGGATGATGCGAATTAGTACTTTACCTGGTGATTCTGTGCCAGTTCTTGCAAAGGCGTAAGTCGCTCTTCCCCGGAAGCTCGACGATGTAACCAGCCTTTCTTCAATCTGCAGGTACCTTTCCTTCCTTTAAAACCTTTTGTGATAATGACTTGAGCACATCTGCCACAGTGTCCCGGTCCCTTTTCAGTGCTTCGGTGGGAATTCCTCCTGGTCCTGCCGCCTCCCCGAACTTCATTAGCTTGGTAGCATTCAGGATTTTGGCTATCGTTGGAGGACTGGTGTCCAATGGTGGGCAATTCTGTACATGCTGTTGGTGGTGATATATTTCTGGGCTAGTTGCAGGTGACGGTCGATTCAAGAGCGCTTTAAATTGATCAGCCCATTGCTTGTTTTGTCTCTATTTCATGGCAATCAGGTTCCCTTGAACATCTTTAATATGTTTAACCTGCATTGATCTCTTCCATGGTAGAGACCTAGTTATCCGACATAAAGTCCTGAGGTCTCTATCACCAGCCGCCTCCCTGTTCTGCTTCAGTTGCCGCCAGCCATTGTGTAGTAGAATTATCTTTTGTCTTTTGCGAGCATTCTTCTTCACTTCTTTATTCAGTGTGATGTTCGTTGAACTCCACTTCTCCTTCTGTTGCCAATCTTTGCACTGAATCATCTTCCCTTTCATTATCCCCCTTTATTCTATTAGCCTCCAGGTATCCGTTGAGAGCCATTCCCTGTCTTGTCCCTTCTTTCTTCCTAGATAAGTTGTACACGTTTCCTTGAACATCGCTTTCAGAGTTTCAGTGTTCTCCCACACAGGCTTCCTCGGTGATAACACGTAGTGTCCCCAACTCCGCAATAATATCTGTTTGAAGTTATCCCTTGTAGTTTTGTCCTTCAGTTTCTGAATGTTTAACTTGAATTACAGTGGTCTGTCCCTAATTGTTCAAAAGGATTTAGCTTCACCATGAAGGCTCCTTGAACTAGAGAATGGTGTGAGACTACATCTGCTCCCCTTCTCGACACTGTTTCCAGGAGGTAGGCGGCGTCTCCACTTCCTTGAGCGACACTGGGACTAAATCCGTCTGGTTTGTGGTGTGTCTATCAGGTGAAATACATTTCGCTTTGTGTTTGTACACACTGCCTCTGACCACCAAATTACCGAAAGCGCAGAAGTATGCGAACAGTTCTCCATTGTCCTTCATTAAGCCGGAAGCCTCTCGACCCATGAAGAGTTCTCCTCCTGTATAATCTGCTCCCAGCTCGGTTGGCATTCATATCGCCTGTGAGGATTTTGATGTCACCATTTAGGATGTTGTCCATTGCTGTTTGCGGTTGTCAAAAGAAATCTTCCTTCTTTTCTTATTCCGAGTCGTTTGTAGCATTTGGTGATTACGACTTTCCTTCCTTCATTTGAATTGAATCTTGCTGTCATGAGCCTGCATTTGGAGATTGGTTCCCACTGTATTAGACCTTTGGCTACCACTGGTGACATCATGAAAGCCAATAACTGTGCCCGTGGTTGCCATCTGGGTGACCAGACTGGAGTAGATCACTGACTCTCCATTTGATGATTTTGGTAATCCATTCCATCAGCTATCGCAGATACCCACCACTTCTATACCATATCCTCGCATTTCTTTGACTGTATGGGCAGCCTTCCCACCCTTGGCAAATGTACGGACATCTCACGTCCCTACTCTTATTTATGCTTTCATTGAGAGAGAAGACACATCGGCTGGTTAACTGACTTCGCGAAAACTGGCTTTTATTAGCCGCTGTGTCATTTCACGTCTCCAACTCCAGAGAAGCATAAGTTTGCTTTTTGTAATTTTTTTGTATTTTTAATGCATTTCTTGTGCGTTGAGTTTTCTGTAACAGTCTGATTGATTTCACTAGATAGCGTCGATAGCTCCAAGCCCGACCCTCCCTCATTTCCCATGCTTGCGTTCGGCTGGGAAACTAACGAGCTAGCAAACTTGGCGAGGTTAATCCTAGTCACAGTCGTTGGAGGATTTTATGATACCGTTACAATACCGGTGCCCGGATACACATGCAACATACTCAATTTCTCTAATTTAGATAGATTGATGTTTGCACATTTAAAAAGGTAGAACCATATTTTCCAGTAGGCCCATTTGCTCCAACCACGGGTTGGGATTTAGGACAAGCTTTTCTAGTCTGTAATTCGTCATTGTGTCAGTCTTCTCTGAGGTTCGTGGACATACAGAGAATTTTACTGACCACGCGTGCGTGGCACAATTGTAGAAGATGGAACAGTTTCTTAAAACAGTTTTCAAAACCAATGATCTCTACTTCATTTTTTTAATAATAACGATTTACTTTGTGAGCGTCCTCCAGTAAATAAAAACGTTTCACTGTGTGATTTGTATAATGAATAGACCAGTTTGAAAGCCCACGGTAATCGCCCATAGCCATTAGAGGGATATGTTAAAAGATGACAGAGTCAACGATATATGAAGAGGCCTGAGAGGGTTTCAAACCTTTTTACATAATTTTTCCGATCAAACACTAGCAGGAAGTACAACTCTAATATATCTCACGGGTTTCTGACGCCCGAAACAGTGCTTGGTGGATGTCTCGTTAGGATCATCACACAACTTTGCATATCTCAGCATTTAGTGGCCTCACGGAAACGCCATACGGAGTAGATGCGGCGATACATTATGACTTACAAAGGAGAATGACGAAGGCTAAACACATTTCCACATCCTTGAGTACCTCAACCTCTTGACACTTTTTCAATGGGTTGTCCTAGATGGCTTAACGTTTCTATCATACATAATTTGTTTCATCTAGCAGTGTGAACAATAGGAGCGATAGAGAAGGAAGTAGGGGTCATATGTGGCAAAATCCTGCAAAAATGGTGACTTCTCACATTTAGCCATTACCGAATCGATGTCTTAATGACTATAAGGAAATAACCCCATCCCCAATACGTTGTCTTGCCATCTGATTATTTGGGTCTATTGCGTAACAAGAATAGACAGGAGTGCATTTCTATCGACCCCTGTCACTTCACTTCCTATAACACGTGTCATAGATAACTTTAACGACATATGAACGACACATATACTTTCGAATGACTGCAAACCCGGATTTGATCATGAGTTGCCGGCTTTTTCCCATCAGCATCCAAGGAAACACTCTTCACTGATTATCTTCCCAACTTTTCTTGAGCATATTATATTTGGCACCCATATACCATATCTGGTCTTCATAATACATAGTCATTCATTTACCGGATTTATTTTCTATAAATAATCTCTTTCTTGTTCGTTGGTTCAAAGTGCTGGTGCAAACCAAGTACTATACGTTCATCTGATATGTAGCCTGTGTGTTGATCAGTGCGAAACACGTGAAGTCAAAATTATGCAATACTTACAGCTGATATTTAAAAAATCGCAACAATGAAACTGGCAGGAATAATCAAGGGCGTGTAAGGGGTGATAGGAGATATTGTGGATACACTTATACCATAGTAAAAATTCGATAATACTCAGATTTCAGATTTATTGGTTGAGGATAGAAGGCTTGGAGCCTATGTTAATCCTTTCTAGTAAAATTCTGTGGTTGTCCAAACCCTTCTTGAACGAATCAACTGAGGTTGCAGACACCACTTCTTCTGGGAGTCGGTTCCAAGAGTTTATGACTCGGTGGGAGAACCAGTACTCAACAGCAATATGATTTCTTCTTGGCTTTTGAACTCTCCTGCTATGTCCTCTAAGGTGTTCCGACCTGGTGGGAAGGAGAAGAGAAAATAGGTCAGGTCCGTAGTCATTATTTAAAATTTTAAACATTGTGATTAAATCTCCTCTCTGCCTACGGTATGACAAGGAGAAGAGGTTTAAACTGTCTAGTCTTTCCTCGTATGATAAGTTAGTCATGCCATGAATCATACGTGTTGCTTTCCTTTGAACCCTTTCTAGAATAAGTGAGTCCCCTTTTAGACAAGGGCTGGCGGCCTGGATGCAGTTTTCGAAGGATAATCAGATCATTATCACTAAATAATTATATAGTACTAAATTCAATCATCTAATGCGGGATTATATTTTACTATAATGACTAAATTCTACACCCACATGGTTCAGACAAGCAAAATACGGAGTTATTGGAAATTGAGTATTGTATATCAGGAGGCATTATTAACTAGCGCGTTGCAGTTCGTGATTTTCCGTGTCACTCTTCGCTCCTCAAAATGATGATGACGGAGAAGAAAGCAGTTGAGGACTCAGGAGTCCCTAAAAACAAAAAAGCGAAAATTGCTAGAGTAGGTTGAAACATTTTCGTCCCCATGTCTGTAGGTTAAAAATAAAATGCCAGCAGCCGTGCAAATAACTGCAGAGCAGCTTCTTAGAGAGGCTAAAGAAAGAGAATTAGAAGTTACGCCTAAAGCACCACAGCAAAAGATTACAAGTCTTTCTGAGTTACGCGACTTCCAGCTGCGTAAACGCAAGGATTATGAAGATAACATCAGGAAGAACAGGTTGGCTATGCAGAATTGGATTAAATATGCGAAATTCGAGGAATCTCAGGGTGAATTACAACGGTAATTAACAATTTTTTCTGATTTCAGACACATTTACTAAAATTTTAGTGTAAATTCTTTATAAACAAACCACATAGATGTATAAGGGAGGCACCACCTAATTCATCTTTTGAAGAACATTAGCTTAGGCATGCCTCATACATTGTGTCTTATAGCTTTTCTTTTAAAACCGGTAATGCTCTGCGGAACCCATTAGATCGAACAATTTATGCAGTAGTGGAAATGAAGTGGTGTTTTTAATTTCGTGATGTGATTGAGCAAGAAAGGTTAATTATATGCATTGTATGTAATTTTTACTAAATGTTGTGTAGGCCATTGAGGGAAGCTGGCATATAAGGCTGTTTACAAATAGATCAACTCCAACTATATCTTTTTTACGAGTGGAATTCGGAAATTGGACTAATATTTTTTTGTTGACATCTGAGGCATGATTAACCGAGTTTTGGAATTCTGATAAGTGAAAATGTGTTTTTAATTTTCGGGAAGGTGTGTCGAACCAATACTTCATAGTTGAGTGAACGTCGGCCTTCCAGTATTTATTTTCCCACTAACTGACTGACAATCAACGTAGAACTTTGCTCAGATATGAAGCAGTTCGAGTTGCCGCACTCCATGAAGCAAGAGAAGGGAGTAAAAAGAGATAATAAACAGAAATATGAAGCAAAAAGAGTAGTAATATTGAAGAACCATAGAATTTTATTGTACACTTTAAATCACAGGGAGTAGGTGTATCTGCGCCAGTGAGGACGATTTTGAGCCATATCACCAACCGTCTCCAACCAATGGTTTTTACCATCCCATGGATCTTAACCAGCCAGGAAGTCTCCACCTACCTACGTGGTTCATACCAACTGTCAGAGATTTCCTTGACTGATGCCATGTTTTGGTGTGACTACCACTGGTTCTTTTCCAACCTGATTGTATGTCAGCTAATATTGTCTTTCGAAGAAGACGGTGTCAAGCCATGCGTAACACATGTCCTGACCATCTCAATTGGTGTAACTTCAGAACCTCATCAATTGATTTTCCTCCTTACCTAGAACTCGACACCTAACCTCAACATCGCTCACCTTATTATATCACTTAACATGGGAGACAGATCAAATTGTTTTCCACAGATGACTTGGTTAAAACTGGCAGTTGCACTGAAATGCAGAGTTGAGTTGTGACTATAAATCTTGTGAACAAATAGAGCTAGTTCATTTTAAGTTACGAACCAAGTGTATATGTGGCCCACCTAATTGGAATAATTGAGCCTTATTATGTGTACCAGAGTTATAATTACCAAATATCCCCGTTATCCAAATTAGAACAGGCAGACAAGATTCTGCAATTACACCTACAATCTCTAATATATATGCACAAAAGTTTTTACTGGTGACAGTGAATTCTTGGATCAAAGGAAGTGTTTAATGCAATAATAACTAATACGAAAATAATGATGTCAGTGGTAACAATAGCAAAAGTAGATGGCGATAGGGGAATTGAAAGTAATGTTTTAATGTAAACATCCCATCAATTGAGTTAGATCAAAATCTTGTTTCGTGATACTAAAGATGAACTGGAAAGACAATCAGTTTTAATATGATAAATGTATGAAAGCAGTGAGAAGTTTTAATTAGTTCATTAGGTTTATCCAGGCCAATGGAGAAAAAAGTCAAAACAAACTTCTTTTGAATGCGAAGAATGGGGTTTTTCTCTCGAACTTCCGTAGTATCAACTGTATGTTAGAGATGAGATTGAATTCCGCTCTAAAGATTTGGTAGAATACAATATATAACCTTGAAGACACTTCTATGACTGCTATTAATCGAATAGGACAAAGACTAGCTTCTTAAAGATTTTATTTCAACTCTTCCAATCTCTGGAGCATGGTGCTCAACAGTTGGTCTGTTAAGCTGTTGTTCACTCTATATAGCCTTCTCCACAAAAGCAACCAAATTTGTAAGTGCGCATAGAAGTAGCACATATACGTCAAGGGAGAAACAAACAAATGGTGGCTCAATACAAACCATAATAATACTGACAACAGTAAAGGTTAGACACCACAGTCAAATGACTTTCAACCAACCAGTCAGATCGCTCATCATTACAAATGAAAGGTTTTCACAATCTTCGTCGCAATTTTCACCCTAACCTATATCATAACCCCACCTTGATCCTACCCTAACCTTAACCCTGAATCAGGGCGAAACTGCGATGAAGATTATGGTATATCTGTTGTTGCCATACACTGTACAGTTTATGTTTAAATTAATAAATAAAATATAAGAGTGGTAATCATTAGACGTACACATTGGAAAGTGCAAACATATTACAACAGTCTCCTTGTGGAGTTATTTTTTTATTTTTTTCAAACAAAATTTCTAGTGTAATTCATAATAATGTCTTTCCTGTTTATTTGAACAATTTCAGGGCTCGTTCAGTTTTCGAACGAGCTTTAGATGTGGATTACCGAAATATAGGTCTTTGGTTGAAATATGCTGAAATGGAAATGCGACATAAACAAGTGAATCATGCACGTAATTTATGGGATCGAGCTGTAACTTTAATGCCTCGAGCCAATCAATTCTGGTATAAATATACATATATGGAGGAGACATTAGGGAATATTGCTGGTGCAAGACAAATATTTGAAAGGTGGATGGAATGGCAACCAGAAGAACAAGCTTGGCATGCCTATATCAACTTTGAACTACGCTATAAGGAAATGGATAGAGCGCGTTTAGTCTACGAAAGATATATCCTTTTTATACATGATAATATTTATTAAACATTACATTAGGTCTTGATAGTTCTGTCTTAATGTTGTATTTTTTAGGTTAAGGTTATTGTAGTATTTATCTCTAGTTCCTTAACCACTATGCACTTGTCCTAGTTCATCCTGAGCCAAGAAACTGGATTAAATATTCAAAGTTTGAAGAGAGAAATGGTTTTATAAATTCAGCCCGACAGGTATTTGAGAGAGCTGTAGAATTTTTTGGAACAGATAATCCACAAGCGCGGCTACTGATTGATTTCGCTCGGTTTGAAGAACGTCAAAAAGAGGTAATGCATGAAAAGTGATAATATTTATATTTTGTTTGAATTAGAAGATTGTATACAGTTGTGTTTTTATTCGTATTATAGTAGTATTAAACGAATTTCAATCAACACTCTGTAGGAAAAAGACAAGACTGTTGAGAACGGATGCAATGCTTATTCGAATAAATTACAATGGACACTGTGCCTCGTATTCAGCTCACTGTTTGAAAATAATATCAGCATTCTGTATCTTGGATACGTTGTTGTACATTTTCTGTCACCCATTCAACTGTTGTTTTAGCTGTAGTAGCTTTATCAGTTAAATATAAACTGCCATAACGTTCTATCACTGTATGCACTACTTATATCTAGTGGGTAAGTAGTACAATTCAGAATACCATCTTATACAAACCCACTTCGAATTAGGAAACTACATCCCTCCTAATATTTCGTTTGTTAATTTAGAAATAACTACTTAATGGTCCACTATTTTTGACTTTACGACTGCAACAGTTTTTAGCGTAGTTTTAGGAGAATCGAAAAGATTTCAGGCGTCCAGTTGCAGGTGTGCGAGTACGCATGGAATGTAGCTGGTGCATTATGAAATCAGCATTTGAGTTACAGGGGTTGTGCGCTGTTAAGCTGGAGTTCCTGGGGTATGGAGTGATTGATTTCGTTTCTAAAGTAGGTAACTAATTTATTAAAATGGTTGGCGAAATTGAAATTAACATTATTTCTTACAGTTGTAACTTCCCTTTCATTTCCATCTTTTTGGTCGTTATATATATATATATATATATATATATATATATATATATATAATATGCCTAATACTTATTGTTAGTACTGACTGAATTCCCTCAGTCAAATTTGCAATGTGGTCACTACGGTTTGTGACCCACCATCACGGTATACTGAATTGGTGTTAGGCGATTTGACACAACTGGCAGGAAGTTATGGGCCTAGATTTCGTGCTAGTTGGCAGTCATCAACAAGACGTGTTTGTTACCTCAAAGAAATGAATGCCTCCTTGAACTTACGACGCCTAATCGCCCAGTGTTTCAGCCGGAAACTTTACCAGTGAGTCATTCGGGCTTAAGATTGACCAAACGTCTAATCAACCGATCGAAAGTCAAGTAGCTGTAACAGAGAGCCATGACTCCATCTAGTGGTTTAGCTACTGAATGTAAAACCAATGTGTTACTGTTCTGAATTTAGACAGACGTTTGCACAGCAAGTCATTGTAGAAAGTGACAGATAATCTGGTACTCAGTAGTGCTTGTTGATATCCAGTGTCATTCATGACATTCTTCCACATAGCATAGAAATATATTGTTACCTTCAGTTTGTTATTTTCATTTTCAGTATGAACGTGCACGGGTCATTTACAAGTATTCCCTAGAAAATCTACCAAAAGAAGATTGCCAAGAAATTTACAAAGCCTATACACTTCATGAAAAGAAATATGGTGATCGTTTAGCTATCGAAGATGTTATTTTGAGTAAAAGGAAATTTCAGTATGAGGAAGTAAGTTAGCTAATGACTAAGTCCTTTCTTTGTCACCACTTTTCATTTAGTGTCAGTTGGCTGAAGGTATCGGGTAAGCTGCAAGGCTATTCTCAAATACGCTGGGATAATTGCATTCAAATTGTCTCATGTATTTGAATGATGCTACAGTATGTTGGTTTATGTCAGTTTGCCAAGTCAGTAAAATTAGAGTCGAAAATAATACTAACTTTGTGGACCAGATTTATTCTGATTTTCATGGGTTTCATTTGTAAAGAAACATTTCTTTCTTACAGTGGTAATCTTATTCAACTAGTATGGATGTATAGTGACGTCGAAATCTTTGGATAATTGGACATGTAGATAACTACTTCCTCTGTTCGGTAACTTTTAAAAGTGTACTAGAGCAAGGAGTGAAAAAATGACATTCTCCGAGACGTATCATTTAATTTACATAATTTCTGATAAGTCTCAGTTAGTAATCAATGTCGTTTGTGTTTGTAAAACCCATTTTCGCTTGAACAAATTAACTTAAAATGCTACTTAACTAACATATGTGGAAAACTTGGGCAGTGTGTTAGTATGCAATTCCATATTAATTTGTTTATTAGATATATCATACAGTGACACAGTATTATTTGCTGGATGACGTTCCGAACACAATTTATTGTTCATAACCACTTCATCAATTATAACTTGAGTTTTATAGTTTTCTTTGCTCTCTGCTATTTGTCATAGGGGTGGTAGAATTTTCCAGATGTCTGGGACAGGTGTTGAATCATCCCTATTACACGTGTTTGCAGTTGATTCGATAAATAAAGCTTCCGTTATCAATCTCTCCCTCCACCCTGTCACATTAGAATTTAAAACTGTCATCTGATCCCATCCTATTGTATGGTTGTGTGTATTTGCCTGTAGTGCTATAGCTGAACTATTCTCTAGATTTCTTATATTATTCGGGTCAAATAATCTAGATTTTGCTAGGTTTTTATGCTCAGCTAGTCTGACTGACCCTGTTCTACTACTTTGGCCTATGTATTTGACCTGACAATGGTTCCGGCAGGGTATTAGATAAACTAGACTGTTTTGTTTAATTGGTTCCATAGGATTGATCCTTTAACCGACAAAGCTTATTTCTAATTGAGTTTGAATGCCACTTTTATTCCTGCCGGCGTAAGGTTTTCGAGGCTCCTTCCTTGTATGGAATCAGTACTGATGATTTAGATTCCTTATTGTTGGTGTCGTCATTATCTTGCGCATGTTTGATATGAATGCTGTCATCAATATTATTATTACTACCAGTATTGTCACTATTACTACTATTATTGTTAATTTTATTTTAACATTTTCCTACATACTACCTTATTAATTTATCAGGGTAATTATTAAGTTTCAAAGCTTCTCTCAAAAGCCTCGCTTCCTGTCTTAGATTTTCCTTGGTACTACTTAGTTTCTGTGCCCTATTACTTAGACATTGCACCAATCCTATTTTTACTGACACAGGTTGGGATGGTCATCCAGTAAGTAATACTGTAATATATCCAATAAACAAATGAATATGGAATTGCTACTCAACTGCTTTCAGACTTTTGTAATTATTCAACTGATATCCCTTTAAAATTTAGTCTCCTTCATACATGTATTCCGGTCTTGTGTAGACTTACTTATACTGATAGTATTTCTAAGTAAATTTGAGTAATTATATAGATGTTAACTCCCACCATGTGGTTAAACTAAGGTTACTACTGCAATAATATACCACGTGATTTAAGGCATTTAATACCTCCAGTGTTTTGATGGTGTAATCAAATTATGTTAGCCATTTAATTATTCATTTGACTTAATTTTTTAACACTTAATTTATTCAAAGATACTGTTTGTGTATTGTTATTCAGGAAGTTCTAGCTAATCCACATAATTATGATGTATGGTTTGATTATGTTCGGTTAATGGAAGAAGAAAGTTCAGTTGAACAAACAAGAGAAATATATGAACGTGCTATTGCCAATGTACCTCCAATCAAAGTAAGCCTATGAAATTATTTAACCAATGTTCAATATACACAAAATGATTCATTAATAAAGTTCAACAAATGAAAGCATATCATGATGAAACGAGGACGATTGAGTTGTAGTGCTATTACTTTAGTAGTCTGTAAAAACAAAGACAATGTATAACTACCATCTAAATTTGGTGTCTGCATATTTCAATGTAGATTTCGTCACTAACCAACATCAGACAGAGATCATTGGAAAACAGGGAGCAGTGGGCATCTGTTTTGTCCTATTTTGGGACTATTTAACAATGCTTGCCCACAACTGTTCATTGAGTCCCCCCCCCCCCCCAAGTAGTTGAATAGTCAACGAGCATGGTCTGTTAACCTGAAATCCCAGATTCGATCCATGATAGGATGATGGGCGCGAAATGCTGAAGAGTCCCAAACCGGGACTAAACAGTCGTTTAATGCTCCTTAATTTCCAATGATCGGTAATTGAAGTTGATTGGTGATGAAGCTACATTAAATTTGGTCTAAATGCCTACAAAATTCAAATTCAGCTAGTCATGGTGTTTTCATTAGGTTTTAAACATATGGGCAGCTGAAACAATATAAATATATTTGGCCTTTATAAGCTGTGTTTGTGAGTAGTTATGAGCAGAACAAAGTAACATGGGCTTAAGAAATTAACTGGTGTCAAATAAGTCAGAATTTAGTTTAAAAAAGCTGTAGTAGACATAAATAAATGGGATGTCTATTCACACGATAGACCACCAGTGAAACGCACAAAACAGCCAAATTATATGTATAAGAAGTATGGGCTGGCTGTTTGTGAATTCTTCAACCTGTTAAATCAAAGTTTTGAGGTCCCAGGTGGCTTTCAAAATCTGTTGTAACAGCTCAAAGGTATTCGTTTTATTTGGTTTCCTGAATTCTAAACATTCACTTTTATGTGGTTGAATTAATCTTTCTCTTGTAGCCGTACTATTATTCTGTTCTAGTCGATTTCCTCCTCCCGAACTACTGTAAGGTGGGATGCTTAAACCGATCTATCCGCCTGTATGTGCATACTTCAGATTCATTGCCTAAATGGAACTTCAGTGTAATATATTCAACTTTTGTGGAAGCCTAGAAAGAGCCTGGGGACGCTGAAGCGTTGAGAGATTTTATAGACCCACGTTTGAGAGACTTCTAATCCACGAGTGATGGCCATTAGTTAGGTTATGCTTTCAACTGAGGTATACAGGTCAAATATTTCTTTAAATCTAGAGGGTTAACAACCACTGAAACCTTGATGTAGATAACAAAGGCTGAATAAGCCGCCACCAAACTGTACTACCAAGAGTGTTGGTGAAGTATCTAATTGTGTCTAAAAGATTGCACGTAATACACACCAGTAGGATGTGTCTCACTGTATAGTTGTTAAACATGTCTATTTAAGGTGACATTCATTTACAATCCTCACATGTTTGTAATGAAGCAACTTAAAGATTATATGCAGAGCGGTAGTGATATACATGTGCCTCAATTCTGACTAAATGATTATTCTACATATTTTTGTATTCTCTGCATCTCCGTTTTCTTATCATACCTTATGTTTCATAATGTTTTAATTTTCCTTGTTCTGTGTACTACCGTCTAATAATTTGTACGAATATTAGGCAGTGCAGTGTAAACTGTTATACGGTATTGTTAATCTTTACTTTGTGATGATGTTTGTCTAGAACTTTGCATGAGGCTGAATTTTACATTACAGTGAAAATCATAGGCCTTTTAGGACCTAATAATGTGTGTTTACTCCTCATATTCAGCGCTTGATAGTTAAAGCTAACCTGATTTTCTAACCCATTATTGCTATAAAGTGAATCGATGTTTACCTTTCAGGAAAAACGATATTGGAGACGGTATATTTATCTTTGGTTAAATTATGCACTTTACGAGGAGTTGACTGCAGCTGATATGGAGCGAACGCGTCAAGTCTATCGATTCTGCTTGAAATTAATACCGCACAGACGTTTCACATTCGCTAAAATGTGGTTATATGCAGCTAAATTTGAAATACGTCAGAAAAAACTAACGGATGCTAGAAAATTATTGGTTAGTTACTTTTTTTTGCCTTTACGATTCTTGATTGGTCAGACCATATCCTGCTTAATTGGTTGTAATATAAAGTGACAGTTCAAGTAGAGGTCATAAACCTTGTATCGTAGTAGAATTCCAACCGGTAACCTTTGAGAAAATGACCAAATGCTCTACCTCTTGAGATAGAAGGTGTGAGCATCGACTGGACCGTATTTGCACTTCATCCACGAATTGTTTCATTCAGTTTTCATAGGAAGTATGCATTTGATTTGGAGCCTTGGCACTGATCTTTATCCATGTGTCATATATATCGCTACCTTATTTATTTAACTGTAAAAGAGCAGACCTACACATTTATTCTAATTTTTTTGGAGACATGACCTATTGAATTCGTTATCAGAGATGTTAGTTACAAATTATGTACATCGCTGAATATATGAACTGTTAGTAGATCGCTATGATTAACACTCTTATAATTCAACAATTTTATACTTTTCTAGCTGGAAATAGTCTGTTAGTTAATTAGAACTGAGTTACCTGCTACTGGAGTGTGGGCCACACTTACAATATGAGGGTTGTTGATACAATCCAGTTACCCAGACTGAAGTAGGTGGGGGAGATTCAAACCCGTGACTCATTAGTTGGAATCCGAATGCGTACAAATCTCTCAATCTACGGTCTACGTTCATCAATTATTCCTAGTGAAATTACACCACGTCTTATAATGGTATAATTTTCTTTTCTCCCTTATGTTCCGGGTGGAACATAGGACTCGAAGTTTCAGCTATGAAGTTCCAGTAGCCGTAGTGTTTTCTTTTACAAGATGCTGTTGCTAGCCTCACACAGAAAAATCCCCTCTTTTCAGCATTTACTACTTACTGGCTAGGCAAGGTTTAGGAGTATGTCAGCCGGGAATCGAACCCGAACCATATGCAGGGTTAGCGAACATTCTACTATTGACGCACATGATGATATCAGAGTTACTTTAAGATCAGTATAATTATCGATTATCTGTTCACTAGACAGTGTTCAAAGTGATACTCCAAATACAAGTACTGGTCAAATTGTTCTCTAATAATCAAAAGGTATGATACACTTGTTCATTTTAAGGATCATGAATATATAATGTTATTGACTACAAATCTAGAACGTTCTGTGTATATAAGCATATATATAATTGTAGAACCAGAAGAGTAAATTATCGAAAAGAATATTCTTTTCTCAATTATTTTGTGTTTTATAATGTTATCGTTATTCTGCACTTTATACAAATATTCATTTTTCTAAATCTCAAGTTCATACAAATTATTTTTACTTATACTTTAAAATGTATGAATATATTAATAAATATTGTTATTTTAATACATTTCTTAATTAGGGTACAGCATTGGGTATGTGTCCAAAGGATAAACTATTTCGTGGTTATATTGAATTGGAGATTCAACTCAGAGAATTTGATAGATGTCGTAAATTGTATGAAAAATTCTTGGAATTCTCTCCTGAAAATTGTACTACATGGATGCGGGTATGCTATTTGCTTTTCGAGTTCTTTTTCGGGTTTTCATGAGATTTGTTAACAAAAGTCCGCAGATGACACTAATATGTGGTGTATATATATATATATATATATATATATATATATATATATATATAATTCAAGTTTAGTTGCTATAAAATAGTTGGTGTTAGAAGTCAGTCGTTGAGATGTCCAGCTTTTATGGTTCTCTGTACTGATAATCGGGGATTCTTTGAAATTTTGAAGAAACTCAGTATCCAATGATATAAGAATAAAACTTGTGCACTGTGGTAGAGTGTAATTCCATTATGGGTAAATTTTGTTTTGATAAAGTCTCACAGTGTTATACAGTAATGATTACTGATGACGTTTCGAGCACAATTTATTGCTAATAATCATATCACCTTGATATGATATGCGCAAAGCCAATCAGTATCTAAACTGTACAGGTTTTACTTTCAGAGTGTGATAACTGTTAATAATTATGTGAGATATATGACTATTTTGGTAGCCTGATTCCTAACATTTAACAATGAAACAAAATATGCCACAGCAGTTATATTATATACCTGATTGATGGACTTTAGTGAGGGCGTTAAACTTGGTGTCTGCATTAGGCATTTTCCAGCGACCAGTTGAGTAAATAAGGTATACCATTTCATATTAGGTAAGTTTGCTTTATATATATTGATTGATACTGGGTTTTGATTTGACCACCCCTAACTTTTCCAGCATAACCCTAAGTCAGCTAACATTGCTCGACGCCGAAGGCGGTGGCTCGACATGCGCAAAACAGGTCCTCGCCATCTCAGTCAATGTAGCTTCACAACCTCACCGATTAACTTTCCTTCCTTACCTCTCAACCTACACCTAACTTCAGTATTGCTCATTAAATTATACTACTTAACATGGAGGACAAAACGTAAACATCTGTGGTCGAAGATAGCTAACCTTTTTATATTTCCTACTTTAAACGGCTACATCTTATAGTCATAAATAAGGACAGAGAATACTGCTGTGCAGGACACCCCTCCTTTGGTCGGAAAGCAAGCCTACGTCAGAGATGACGAAAGTTAGCAAATGCCACACGAGCCTTCTGTATCTGTGCTGAGATTTTGTCACCAATCAATCCATTACGATAGGTGCAACTTCCTAAATAATTGAAGTGACTAATACGCCGTACCACTCCACTCCCTAATCTTTTAAGGTTATCTCAATTAGTGCACTCCATTAGTTTCACATTACACGCAGGTAATGTCTAAAATTGTCTTGAAAATATAATTTCTGACAAGGATCTGAACAACAAACAATACTGTCAACAGTTACATATTACTTTATGCTACTGCTTTACACAGTATATCTGTCAACAAATATTGTTGACAATACATCTCGCAACACTCAAGGTATTTACTCCTCATTTTTGTGGTAATGACTGGCTATCTAAGTAAATGGATTGATAGTATTAGTATATTGAATTTCCGTATTAAATCACCATCATTCCGAATAACTCCATTCACCAAAACATTTGATCCGTTTTTGTATTTTGGTGCTTCTCATAACCTATGACATGTCGATGTGTATAATCAGTTAATAAATGCTTATTCTATCACTCATCGTCGTCTATTTAACGTAATCCAGTAGTTTTCATTACAAAACTAAAGCTTTATAATTTCTCTCTTCATTTCTATATATCAATTATTAAACAAGTATGCAGAATTAGAAAGTCTCCTTGGTGAAACAGATCGTGCACGCGCTATCTATGAACTAGCAATCAATAGACCTTTGTTAGATATGCCAGAATTATTATGGAAGGCGTATATTGACTTTGAAATTGAACAGTATGATTGGGAACGAGCTCGTTCACTTTATCGACGATTATTAAGTCGAACAAAACATGTTAAAGTGAGTCTGTTTTCATTATTATATCCGTGTGTTATTCTGAAAATGTTGAATGGAATATTTAGTCAATACGTTCTTATTGTTCGACTGTGGTGTACGAAATCAACGACCTTTTGCCATACGACTATGAAAAATAGAATAATTGAAGTAGTACCTATTGTAGTAGTGATAACAGCATCCAAGAGTCGTTCACCGTTAATCATACTTGATGTCTGTATGTGTATTCCTGGAAATAGATTGAACATACCTCCAGACTCACAAATGTAACGCTAATGGGGAAGGGACGGGTTGGGCGTCCGAGGTTGACATAGAGATCATGCGAAGGTGGCTACGAAGCGAATAAAAAGCGATAGCAGAGAACAAAGTGCAGTGGAGATATTTGCTGATGAAGCCATATATTCCACTCGGAACCGATAATAATATTGTACGTATCTGAGCTTCATTGCAAACCTTTGGGAGTAGACTTATTCGGATAGTGGAGCAAAAAGATATAAAAAAGTTGAAAGCCTCATAAGGACCAACTTTGTTCGTATCGTATCTTTGTTTTGATTTTAGTTTAGATATCATTCTACTTTAATTGTTGCAGTGTTTAAAAAATGTCGGATTTTTGTAACAATACAGACTAAATACTATCATCAACTTATATATTTTTCACTAACAGGTATGGTTAAGTCTTGCCAACTTTGAATTATGTGCATTGAACAAACTGACAGCCGACGATTTAGACGATGAAGATTTAGAGCATTTGAAAAATGTTGAATTGAACAAAGAAACATTACTACAAGAACACAATGAAAATGAGATTAAAAAGGCAATAGAACGTTCACGGAAAGTATACCAAGAAGCAAATAAAGCCTTGAAGTATATAGAGGATAAAGAACAACGCGTTCGTCTGCTTGAAGCTTGGAAAGAATTTGAGGTATGCCAGTACTTTATGTATAACTTTTCGCAAAAAGTTCTATACTTATTCCAGTTTCATTCCTTAGCGTTCTTAGTGCAAAAATAGAGCTTCCAGCTTGAAATTTGAAGTTTCAGTAGCCGTGGTTTTATATCTTTACGGGGTGGGGTTACTAGCCTCACGCCAAACCTCCCCTCTTCCCGGATTACTATCGGTTAGTAAACTAGGTGAGGTTTAAGAGTGCGCCGGCCTGAAGTCGTCGTTGAACCACCGATAGCCAGCGTTTTATGCTTATAGACTAAATAATTCCTCCTGATGCAGATTGAGAGCACCAAATGATGCATGTAGCAGAGTTATATTACCATTTCATAATATACTGACGTCAAATAGTTTACGCAATAAAAAGAATGAGGTGCGGCTTATTACCTACTTCAACACCTAGGGAACTGGATGTTACCACTAGTAGTCCTCTTGCAATAAATGTGGCTCATAGCCTTACATATCAAAGGGTTTTTTTCCAGGTATATGCGTTCTGATTAACTGGCGTTCGCTTTTACCCGACTATAATCATTCCACTCGTATCTTTGTATTCTCACGTTTTAAAATATTTTTTAGTACGAATATGGAACTGAGAAAACGCAACAAGATGTTGACAAGTTACAACCACAAAAAGTTGTGCGCAGTCGTCGGCTTGGTGATGAACGCAGTGGTTGGGAAGAATACATTGAGTATTCATTCCCTGATACCGACGCAGAAAAACCAAATCAAAAACTACTTACAATGGCTGCAAGATGGGCGGAACAGATGGAGAGGAAAAAAGCCGCTGCAGCAGCCGAAGGCAAAGAGGATGATTCTAGTGAAGAATCTGAAGAAGAGGAGGAGGACGAAGAAGAAGAGGATGACGAATTACAAGGTGATGAAGATGATAATCGCATTCCTGAAAGAGAACCGACATGGTTTGAACGCAAGAATATGGAGGAGATTGAAATCGACGAAGACAGTGATTAAGAAAAGACAATCAGTATTTTTATATCCTATGTATATTTTTCCCTGTACAGTCAAATGTATTTGTTTTTGTTTATTCAGTCAGAAAGATATTTAAAAAATAATAATATCGAACTTCTTATTCAGTGAAGTTTTCTTTTATAGTTTTGCTTCATTTTATGGCAACCAGTCTACTACGACAGAACACTCTGAACCGTTGAAAAAGTACCAATTTCCATGCGGTGCACCTTTCCGTGTTACAGCCTGTGATACACGATAAAAAAAGCAAACATTTAAGATAATCAATAATACGGTCGACGGGTTAATGTGAAATTTTATACAGATATGCGTCAAAACACTGTCAACCATGAGTATTACAGCTCAATTTTTAAACAGCTTGCTTTAGATTCACGTATTAGTGAATCTACAGCTTTTGACATTGAAGAGATATCAGATTGTTTGTCAGCTCAACTGTATCTTGTGTTATGTGCATGTTCAAGAAGTTCGATGCATGTTAATGGTTAACGACTAATTCATATTGTATCTACCTATGGTAATTAACAAGATACACCTACTATATTAGATGTTGAATACCTATTTCTGTTAAAGTCTCAATCGTGTTCATTTTATTATATTGCGTAAACCGAAGTAGAAAAAGGTTTTTCACGTGCAGTTCAGAGCTTGTCTCATATCTTTATGAGGATGACTTTAGATATCAGGAAGTCAAACAATTCAACTGCAAATCGACTGGGAAAATGGGCATACATCCATTCACGTTAGGATCACGTGGTAATAGTATCGTATCAGATTATTTGTTAAAATCAGGTCAACAATAAACATAAAAAGATGGTAGGTAGTACTTGTTGTCTTTGATTTATTCACTCTCTTTTTTCTTAACAATCTGCGAATTCATTTAGAATGTGATAAGTTGTACTGTAATAAATTTCATACAAAAACATAGATGATTTGAAATAAATATTAATTGTGAATCAAATCTGTATACTTACTCTGATTACTTCCTGAGATACTATACCACCAAGTACTGGATTAACAGCTGGAAACAATGGACCAGAACAGCATCTGTAGCGTACAGAAAGATGAATATAATCCATAAGCATCATATAAAGTATGAGTATATTACAAAAAAGCTTTGGCTACGTACTAATTGCTTGACCCATGATTTTTCTATCACGATATATATGATTCACAGTCTAATGCAAGAATGGGTGAAGAGTAATCCAATTTAGAAGTTAATTTTTATCTAAACTATAATCTAGACAGCATTCAGCTGGTTAGGAGATAGATGCATGAAACTTTCCACTGAAACCATGAACAGTAGTAGTGTAACAACGGAAGACAAGGGCCAGGCGACAGATCGTTTATTAAGGAAATCAAAGCATATTTATGTATTTTCATGTACATTATTATAGATTAGTTAAGCAAACAAACACAGTCTTCTGATTGGTTGCTTCTCACTTAAAGTTAATCTTTCATCTCTTTGTGACTGTTTCTTGAATGTCAGATCATCTATATGTTAACTGTATCCGCCTACGCAAAGTCTGCTGTGGTCGGTTTTGAATCAGTCTTTGTTCATATTTTCTCACGACAAATCTTGAGAACGTAAACATTGACGTCAATTACTGTCTACCAATTTGGCTAGTAGACAGCTCTCACTACAGTAGTACCTTGTCGACATAGGTACTTTGGATGATTACACTTAAAACATCGCTTGCATATTGCAGGTTCCTTATAAGCAATACAGAGGTTACATTACGGAATAATGAAAGTAAGTTAGAGTGTCTATGATTCCTCATTCATCAGAATAACTGAAGGTGTAACTCGCAGAAAACTAACTCTATGTCCTAGTGACCGGTCGATGTAAAACAATCCTTTATCAGACAAAATGCTAATTAGGTTAGGGAGACTAATGTATTGCAGTGAAAGTATAACATATAACCTTTTATAGTTGTTGACAATGGAATTGGGCAGTGTGCACCCTTTGAGCGGAATCCAAAATTACTGATAGCTAATTTTCCTCCGTCTCTTTCCAAGTTTTAGGAATCTTTCACTTAAATACTTACCTTTTACCTGGTTAGTTATAATACGTGCCATCATTTTGTTGTGGTCGTTATATTATAGCAACTGATATGCAATCATCTCAGGCATTACAATATTTAATTCTATTTTTATAGTGAGGTTAATCCCCTGTGAACAAACTGAATATTAAAGAAAAATTACTACTGATTGAAGCCTTGAGTATAATGGTGATTATTGTCGAATCCACTTATGTAGTCTAAAAGTCAGAAGTATAACAATTCATGTTGGAAATTTTCACCTTTTTAGTACACAACGATAATGTCATCATGTTCAGCCGTGCATGAATCAGCAATGAAATATACAATAATTACTTACTCTAAATCTTCAATAGAAAGAAGTGTTTCTTCTACGCCCAACTGTTGTGACACTCTTTGCCACTGGGACTGTAAATACGGTAGAGTGAATGGCGCTTGATCAATGCAGCACTGACTTAGAACTATAAAGAAGATGAATAATAATACTCTGACAGTAGTCGTGCATTATAATAAAGAAACCAAGTTCATAAGATTTTCACAATTCGTTGTTTCTTGTAGCTTAGATAGGATACAATAACAATGATATATGTTCGAACCAATGAGAAACACAGAAAAGTGTACAATGTTGCTCTCTTCAGGATAGCTCAAGGTCTTGTTTTCTCATCGATGTTTGTTTTATGGTAGCTGGTTGTGTGACTTAACGGTGTTAAATTCTATCAACAAAATTTCATAAATGATCACGGCTGTCAAAACACAAATGTATTTCTGGAGTAGCCCGTTTTTCGTGGGCAGTGGCTTCGACTATTCTTATTGGAGTGTAGACATATAGTTGGTTAGTTCCTCTGCATTCCGAGTGGCACACAGGGCTTCGAGCTTTCGGCTTTGAATTTTCAGTGGCAGTGGTGTTTCTATATACAGGGTGTGGTTGCTAGCCTCACACCCAACCTTCCTTGTTAACTGGTCTTCCTACCGGCTGAGAGAGGTCTAAAAGTGAGTCGGTCTGGAATCGAACTCTGGACCATGTACATGGTTGGTGAGTGCTCTACCACTGAGCCACCGACGCGAAATAGACATATAACTACGAGTTTTTAGGGATTTGAAAAATTTCAGATGTTTGGTGAAATTAGATCTCATGTAAAATATGAAATACATGTTCTAATAACTGCAGGTGACATCAAAGCGTGTAGCCCACATGTCAATAAGGGCCTGTAAATCAACAATTAAACTACAGATAATGTAACTTAAATTTAGTTCTAAATGATGTTAATATCGGTGATATTGGAATACTAGAGAGAGAGAGAGTACCAGTCAGTTAGTGAATGTCAACTTAATGAAAGCAGTAGTATCCCAATACAGTTTAAATAATGTTACAATACCACTTTAATATTACATACTAAAGTGTACCTTGCATTAGAAGAAATCCTTTAGGAATGAATTTCACATCTGATTTATTCTCCTTCATTTTGTTAGTAATAAGAGATAAACTTCCTGACAGCGTACAATACTTGATCATCTACAAGAAAAAAGGAGTATGCAGGGTATAGTGAGCTATTTTGACAAAGCGAGGAATAATCATATCAATACGAACCACTGATTTTACAAAGATTACTGATTTAGACTGACATCTACAGGAATTTTCCAATGTATGTACGGCTTGAATAAGCATGATCAACAACCGTATGAATGTTTAAACAACTGACAGTGATACATGCTTCGTTTATGAGGGTTAAGTATATTTTCCTCTATGTTTATTAACAGTAATCTCATCACAATTATGTAAAATCTACCAAATTCTTAATAAATTCTCTTTTTTGAAGAATACTAGTGTTAATAACAGTTGAGAAATCTGTAAAGAATTAGAAATCGTTACAAAGTTCAGTAGAATGGAAAAAATTATTTGCTTGCACAAATAACTGATAAATAACAGGAAGCAAAATATCTGAGTACTGTGATCACTTTTTTTGTTTCGTTATCTTTGACAACGAATTGATAGACTTAAGACAAGCAGGAAATATTTATAATTATCAACGGCTTAGCCAAATGAAGTTCAGACACCAGGTTATGGGGGAGATTTTTAATTATTGGCACTTTGGAAAAGTTTGTTGACACTGTGACGACATACCGTACTTGGTTATAAAGAGTGAATCAGTTGGTGAAATGATGTAGAAGGAAAACAATTTCAAAATGCCTGAATGAATCACATGGAAATCATATGATCTCATCTGCCATTACACAAGTCGTTTGGTTTCAAGGTACTTGACAAATAAAAATAAGTACTACAAGTCTCATGTACAGTAATGTCAGGTTGACAGCTTATTGAATACATGTAATTCACTAATCTGTACAATACAGTTTCAGCCAAAGGGCTTATGGGCAGAAACCAAATTTTACCTACTGTGAATTCACTTGGTATATGAGGCAGTACTGTAACCATAAAACAGAGATTTATAGTCATGTAGAGGGAAATCCGGATACAGTTCTATGTAGGCTTTATATTCCGCTGAGAGACACTAACTTCCGTTCAAGTACTGGGACGTTTTTTCCAATATATACACAGAGTAAAATTAATCTGTTTGCCGTCATTTTTATGAGTCATTCGTGATATGTAATAAGTACTACATAAAAAATCACATCTTCAAAGCTATTTAAACAGCGATTTAATAATATCATGTAAAAGGTAGGCGCATTATACTGTGCACTTTTTAGGACCAAAAGAAAAAGACATTCTTACATAAAGATGAAACAGGAAATAATCCAAATTACCTTCTTCACAAGAAGTGTTTCTGTATTCGACTCTTCACTGGCCTTATTTAACTTTGCAGCTGAACCAGATGAAGCTGCTGGTACTGACCTCTTCTTGATCACAACTTCTTCACTGGCAAACAAAGGAAGAAGAGTGATAAAATGCATATATATATATATATATATATATATATCAAAACAGAACTGTTA